CCCCCCCCGCCCCCATTCCCACCCTCCCCCGGGGTTTCGGGTTGTTTTGGGTGATTTTGGTTTTTAATTCAGCCCCATCTGCCTTGTTGGAGCAAAAGGAATCAATAAACGCAGCAAGCTGAGCTGGCCTCCATGAGCTCCCCTCCAGCTGGGAGAGGGAAAGGGGGGGAAAAAAGAGCCCTTGTGCACCCAGCCATGAGACTTTGGCGCAGGCAGGGATGCTGGGGGGGGGTCTACCGAGCCTCCTCCAGCCCCCCACCCCAGGCCACCACGGCAGGGAGAACACCTTTGGGACACAGCAGGTCACCCAAGGATAGGGCAGCCCCTGCCCCATCAAGAGTGGGTTGCTGCTGCAGGTAGCAGGGAGGTCCTGGGATCTCCTAACCCCCCGCTCAAAGCCCAGCAAGGACCTGGTGGACGACAGCACTGTGCTCATGCAGCAGGGACACTCCTGTCACCTGTGGGGATGCCTTCCACAGCCCCAGCATGCAGGGAGCAGGCAAAGAAATCCTTGCCTTAAGAGACAAATATTTTTTTTATTTAAGAAAATAAGAGAAGTTATTCCCCCCTGGAATCCCGGGGCAAGCTAGGGCAGCACCGACACGGGGCACAATGCTGGGGCAGGCCCTCGCAGTGAAGGGAGGGGGCATAGGCTGCTATTATGCCTGCCGGCCCCCCCAGAGCAGCAGTGAGGTCTGTCCCCACACAGGGTCCGAGTCCAGGGTCTGCCAGGGGACAGGGACACCCCAAGTGGGAGGAGAGGTCCAGAGGCAGGGATAGGGTCCTGACATGTCCCCAAGCCACACAGAGCCGGCAAGGGGACGCTGTGCGTGACTGATGGCAAGGAGGGGCAGACCCCCAGCTGGAGCAGGGCTGGGGGGCCCAGGCAGGCATGCAGAGAAGCCCCCCCGAGGGTTTGGTCCTCGACAGAGCCCCAGCTCCCATCTCCTGCCCTGCCGAGTCTCCTGGGGCACCCTGTCCTTGCCAGAGCGTCCGTGAATCCAGCAGCAGCATCTGTCCAGCCTCAAGGGATGAGTGTGGGGGACTCCACATCCTCCCCAGTGTCACAGCAGCAGGCACAGATGTCCCCCAGTGCGGCTGTGGATGGAGAACGGGGCAGGGCTGGCCCTGCCTCCGTGCGCAGGCAGCGGGGAGGCAGAGCACAGCACGAAGGCACTTGGGCTTTTTGCACAGCCGAGTGCGGTTCGCTGTTCCCAGGGTGCCTTGCCAGGAGCAGGGTTGGCACTGTCCCCCAGGGCACCGGCCACATCCAGCCCTGCCCCAGCCCCGGCTCACAACCCACGCAGCCGCCGCTCCTGGTTCAGCTTCTGGAAGAAGGTCTTGCCAAATTCATAGGTGCTGATCATGATGGCGCAGGCGGGTGCCACCTTAATGACGCGGGGCAGGAAGCCTGCAAGGACAAACCCGTTAGCCCCTCGGTGACACCAGAGCACCAGTAAACCCCAGCCCAGGGCTGGGGGCACGTCCTTACCTGCAAACAGCCCCCGAGTGCCAGACTCGGCACGGATGCGCTGCATGAGCAGCCAGGTGGAGGAAGGCTTCGAGGCTGCGACTGCAGGGAAAGGGGAGCAGGTGAGGGTCTGGGGATGCCCATGTACCCACCAGGGAGTCATGGGTGCCCCCCATGCATCTGCCCAGAGCTCGGCCCCTCACCTGGGTGCACCTCGCTGTCTCCCAACTCAATCTGCCGCTGGGTCTTCACCACATCAAAGGGCAGCGTCAGCACTGCAGCCACCTGCGGGGCCAGCAGCCAGGCGGTGAGCTGGCATGTCACCATCCCTGCCCAGTGCCGGCTCTGCTGTCACCTCCTGGTGCCATCCCAGCCCCATCCCTTGCTCCCCGTGGGGGCCATTCCCCCAGCTCACGGCTGAGCGAGCCCCTGCGCAGTGCAGACCCCAGGGCCCCAAACTCACCGTCCCAGAGATGGCCCCGGATGTGAAGCTGATCATGAACGTGGCCTCATCCAGCCGGGCCTGCCTGCAGAGCCATTCCTTCACCACCTCATAGTTAAACCAGTAGAGAGCTGGGAGGAGATGAGAAACACCACTGCTATGACAAAGTACCCCAGACACACCAACCTCCTTCCTCACCCTGTGCAGGGCTGCCCTGGCCCATGCTCGTCCCCCCCAACTCCCAGTGCCACCGCTCAGCCTGTCCCCCCGCAGCCATACCTGAGAAGGGGACATCTCGCAGCACGGTGGGTCCCCAGCCCCTCCAGAGGGACAGCCAGCCATCCTGAGCCACTGCCGACTGGATGCAGACACCCAGTTCCCGGTAGCTGAGCTGCCGGGACTGCATCTTGGTGCGGATGAGCTCCAAGGGGCTGATGACCGTCACGGCGCCCACTGCAATGGAGGGGACATCGGGCATCAGCCCCCTCAGCTCTGGCAGCTGTCCCGGAGCCATCAGAGCACCATGTCAGGAGAGCCAGGTGCCAAATGCAGGCACCAACAGCCAAGAGACCCGCTGTGCTCTCCTGCGAGGATGCAGGGTGGGCACGGGGGGACGCCCAGAGAGGAGGGGTACTCACGCCTGGCAAGGGCCCCCGCCAGCAAGGGGATGTGGTGCCCCCGGCTTCCCGTCCGAGCATGCAGGTAGTCCCGGAGCTGGTCGTAGGTGGTGAAATAAATGACGGTGGCTGGCACAGCCATGACCCTGCCAAGGAGGAGGGGTGTGAGGGGCACACATGCCCTCCCTGGGGGCTGGCAGGAGGCTTGGGGCAGATGCCCATGTGCTTGGGCAGGCATTAGCACCCAGATGCCCCCCCCAGGCAGGGTCGAAACTCACAGGGTGGGGGGCAAGCCGCTCCACAGAGACCTGATGCCCTCATAGCGTGTGATCTTCACAAAAGCATCCTGGGGAAAGTGGAGCACCAGGGAGAAGGGTTAGACGGGGGCAGATGGGCAAGCAGCCCCCCAGCAAACACCCCGACCCCCTCTCTGGGACAGGGAGGCCCCTGCCCACCCTGCCTGCACCCACAGCCCCTACCAGTGTGCCTGTGAAGTGGGTGGGGGCCTTGTACCAGGCAGTGCAGCCGTTGCCGTTCTGGCAGACATACAGATGGTCCATGAGCCCGTTGCAGTAGAGGAAACACTTCCCTGGGGGGGAAGGTAACAACATCACCATTAGACAGGAGACCCTTTCCCTCTGCCCTATGCCCAGCCCATTTAATCCCCAAAACCATCGTCTCTTCCAAACCCAGACCAAGGCCAGGGCAGTGGGCATCCAGCCCCACTGCAGGGACACAGCAGGAGCCATTGCCAGTGGCAGGAGAGGTTTATGCCTTGCTCGGTGTCAGCTCTGCTGTCCCAGTAGAGTGGGGATGCCATCGCAGGGAACCAGCACGGCCCCTCCACCGTGCTCTTGGACCAGGCACAGGGACGCCAGGCAGCAGGGAGCAAGCAGGGCGGCGGAGATCCAAGGGGACTTTGACGTAGCAACAGGACAGAGTGACAAGACAGGGCAAGGACAGGAGGACCACAGACAGACAGACCTGTTGCACAACAGACCCACAGCAGAACCCCCGGGCAAGGGCCCAGCAGGGACGTTGCACAGCCAGCCCCAAAGCGGGGCTGCAGGAGCAGCTGTGGGGCTGGGGGACGATCACAGCCCCCACACCAGAGAGGGATGTCCTCTCAGCCAGAGGAGCCCAAGCCGCCACCAGCGGGGAAGCAAACCAGGGTCAAGGCTCAGGAAAGCAAAGCCGCTGGTGGCAGGAGCTGCCCGGAGCCCCTGGGCATACTCACATGTGGCCTGCTGAGCGCCCCAGGGCACAGACCGCACTGGCAACGCTGAAACACACAACGGGGGACACACTGAGCGATGACACAGGGGGATGTGCCACCTCCCCAGGCTGGGGCACACGCGTGTGCTGCAGCTCCGAGCCAGGCAGTGGGAGAGCTCCATGAGTGAAAGGAATGCATGCCCCTGCAGCCACTTCCCAAGCAGTCCCTACTGTCACCAAACCAGTCCCTTGGGACCAGCCCCAGCCTACCGGCCCCGTAGGGAGGGGTGCAGAGCCCACAGGGTCTCTCCTGCCCCATGGAAGCTATGGGGAGCAGCGTGGAGACAGGCACAAAGGCAGTGGGGGAAAGAGCGAGCAGCCAGAGCAGGCTGAGCCCTTCCACCCCGCTCCCTGCCGGGCAGGGGGCTGCCGGGCATAGCACTGACCCCACTAGCATCGGCATGGGGCTGTGGAGGGGGAAGGACTGAGCGAAGCATCAGCCCAGCTCCCCGAGCGGGGCCCCCTGAGCCCATCAGGACAAGGGGCCCATGGTAACCTGCCACCTCGCGATGGCCCCACGCTCAAGAGCTGAGAAGTCCCCATCATCACCAGCTCTGCCAACCGAGACATCCACGTGGGCTGCTCACTGGCTGACTGGGGGGGGTGGGGGGCTGGCCGGAGACCCCCACCCTGCCCTGAGCAGGGTTACCTTTGGAGAAGGGGGTCCTCTGGGCCTGCAGCCGGATCTTCACCACGTCCAGCGGCGTCACTGAAACAACACCATCCTTTAGCCACGCCGCATTGTGCCAGCCCCCTGGCACCCACCCACTCCCCATGGTCCTCACCGAAGAGGGAGGTGAGGATGGCCCCCGTCCCTGAGGCCAGCATCTGCTGCAGCGGCGTAATGCCCCCGCCGGGGCTCAGTGACGTCTTCTCAGCCATGGCACTGGCCCCCTGCAACACACGGAGGGGGGGATGCTCGAGGCTGGGGGTGCTCCTGCGGGGGGTCCCTGCCCAGGGACGAGCGATGGCTCCCCAAGGAGCTCCCCCCCCACCCCCAGCATCCCCACTCCATCGGTGTGAGCACAGGCGTCCCACCTCCAGCCTTGCTATCGGCATGGCACAGGGCAGGCATGGCCCCCCCTGTAATCATGCTGTCCTGGGGTGGGGGGGACAGGGACCGCTCCTGGGGCCGGCTCACCCCGATAACAACCCCCCTGGCCCCACCGCTGGCAGCGGGCCCAGCCTTGCTGGAGAGGTGGGGACGGTCCAGGCCAGCCTTCCATGTTCTTGGGGAGGGAGGACCGTCCCCTCCCTGCACTTGGAAAATTAAGGGACAGGAAGGAACAAAGTCCAAAGACCAGCCACACCACGGCAGCACCCCCCAGCCTCAGCTGAGAAGGGAGCAGAGCCCAGTGCAGCCATGGAGGGACACCCAAGGGGGGGATCTCCCTCCTCGCACAGGGGGTGCAAGATTGCAACAAGCACCCCAAAAAAGGTTTGCAAGTCCAAAACCTTCTGCATGCCTCCCCCGCCCTGCTGCTGCTCCCCCCGCCAAGGCTTGGCAAAGCTGTGGCCCCCAGGGCCAGCGTCTCTGCCCTCGGGAAGCGGGGGATATCGCATCCTTCCTGCGAGAGGAGGACCTGGAGAAGCGAGCCCAAGCATGCTGTGCACACTCAGGACCAGCTGCTCCCCCTCGCCGCAGCCCGGGGACAGTCCTCATGCTGGGACAGGGCCGGCAGAAAGGCTTCCAGGCTTCATGAACCCACCTTTTTTTTTTTTTTAAAGCCAGGGAATGCAGGAAAAAAACCACCCTTCACCATCTGACTCAGCAATTTGCAAGGTCAGAGCAGTCATAAATCTCTCAATTACAGGCTTCAGACTTGTTAGGTGCCCAAGGCTGCAAGCGGCAACGGGTCTATCCTGGAGTCACACACACCAGCCCCACCGGGAGAGCCGGGTGCTGTTTGCGGGGTGGGCACAGGTCCCATTGTGCCTGTCATGGGACAGCAGCAAGGCGACGCAGCACCCTGGCACGCTCCCCGCAGACCACACAGCCATTGCAAAACCGTGCCATGGGCAGGGCGCTCGCCCCAGCGCCGGATCCTTCCCTCCACATAAACCCTTACGCAAGCAGGGGGAAAATCTCTTGCTCACAGCACTGCAACACCTGAATGGCTTAAAGCTATTTATACATGCCACAACATGGCCCTCTCCCTTGCTGTAAGGGGGGAGCGGAGCACCTCCAGGGCACTGGCAAGGCCTTCCTGGCCGCATCCAAGCTCCCTTCTCAGCTGCAAGCTGCTCCCTTTCCCATCCAGGAAAAAATATAAGTCCCTAAAACCACGACCCAGACCCCACCGCTTGGTCCGGAGCACTGGTGGGTCTGGGTACAGCGCTGTGATGCTTGGTACAAAGAGGGAGGGGGGAAAAAAAAAAAGTAAATATGTATTAAGATGATAAAGGCAAGAAGCTCCAGGGGACATGAGGAGCTCAGCAGCCTGTTCCTGTGCAGGAAGGGCCCAGCTGGGTGTTCGAGCCTGAGCGAGGGAACACTGATGGAAATCCTGCAGGCAGACCCCTCAGGTGCTTCTCAGCACCTGGGCTGCTCCAGCGTAGGGCTGTGAGGCTCTGTGGGGGGGTGTGTCCCACCCCCGCACCATCTCTGGAAGTGCCTGAACAGCACCAGGGGTCTCATCCTGCCTGGGCACACCCCTGCCTAATGCCACCCTGGTTCGGGCAGGACCCGGGCGCTGCCCAAACAGGCAGGGACGGCTGCTAGCGCTTCTGGGGAGGGAGGACTCAACCGTGGGACCCACCGCAGCCACCCCCCCACCTCCGTGGGTGGCCCGGAGGACAAACCGCCCTCCCAGGGAGGGGACAACGACGGGTGCTGCAGGTGATGCACCCAGCCTGGCCCGCTGCAACGGGGAACCCCCCACGGACGTGGGGAAGCCCCCCCC